ATGAAGTACATCCATCGTCCGATCGTGCTGCTCATCGTGTCCAACGTCTTGTAGTAGGTCAATGGATTGTTGTCTGTGACCCATGTGAACCTACGACGCCCAAGGAGGAAGTGCCGCCAACGCTTGAGAGCCATCACGAATGCGAGCAGCTCCTTCTTCCTTGCATCATCAAGCGAGTTGATGGGAGGCACTTTGTGGCTGAAATACTCCACAGGTTGCCAGTCGTCCCCGTCGTGCTGTTCCAAGACTGCCCCAATGCCATAGCCAGAAGCGTCCGTAGTCACTCGTGTGGGCAGGGTGGGGTCATAAATGCTAAGGACGGGTGCCATGAGCATAGCCGTCTTAAGTGCTTGGAATGACCAGCGTGCGTCGTCATCGAATACGAATGGCACCTTTGGCGATTGTAACCTCGTCATAGGTGCARCAATCCTGGAGTATCCGGTGAYGAATCGCTGAWAGTAGCCCGCCAACCCCATGAATGAAYGAACGTCMGTGGTGTTGGTGGKCTCGGGCCATACTCGTAGGGCCTCGATCTTGTCCGCAAGCGGACGGATGCCTTGCGGCGTCACATAGTGTCCCAAGTACTCCAGCTCCTRYTGTGCGAACTCGCACTTGTCGCGGTTTGCTTTGTACTTGGCCTGTCGTAGCCRCTCCAAAACGGTGCGCAVRTGTTCCACATGCTCGTCCRGACTCCGGCTGTAAACCARAATGTCGTCGAGGTAGATAAGTACGAAACGATCCAGCATRTGTCGGAACTCCGTCGTCATAGCYGCTTGGAAAGTGGCTGGGGCATTCGTAAGGTCAAATGGCATGASCARCCATTCGAAATGCCCATACCGTGTCTTGAACGCGGTCTTGTAGCGATCCTCCTTGCGAATCTCGAGYTGGTGGTACCCTGACTTGAGATCCAGCTTAGAGAAGAACTGGGCGCCGCCCAATCGCTCGAGAAGGTCGTCGATGCATGGGAGAGGGCCGGTGTTCCTGATCGTCTGCGCGTTGAGATTGCGATAATCGATGCACAACCGCAGGTCCTTGTTCTTCTTCCGGACGAAGAGAACAGGAGCACCGTATGGCGATGAGCTAGGCCGAATCCAGCCTTTCTCCAGAAGGTCGTCGGGTTGTGCCCGAAGCACACTTAACTCTTCCTCSYTCATTYGGTAGATGCAACCGCGCGGAGGTACGGCCCCGTCCTCGAGGATGATCTMGTGGCGGATGGGTCGATCCGGTACTACTCCGTGCGGGCCTTCRAACACGTCGCTGTAGGCGTCGAGAAGTTCGGTGATGCATGGATCCGAAGGTGAGTCCGTCCATGAAGCGTCATGTGGCGGGAGGGCGTGGAGAAAACACACCCCCATCTCCTCGATGTCGTCTCTGATGATGGAAGCTCGCATGCTTGCGGCGCATACCACGTGGCAGGTGATCGAAGGATGTGGAAGGGGCACCGTGCATGGAACTAATACTCCGTTCCGATCACGAATGTGAACGGTGCGTATGAAGAAGTTCACCGGGTGATCCTCGCTTCGCATTCATGACATGCTCAAGATCATGTCAAATTTGGTGTCCAGAATGTCAAAGGACACCGCCTCACTTGCGTGAGGGGCAAAGTACACTGGGACGGCGTCAATGCACCGGTCGATGGACTTGTGCGTATGACCGACCGTCTTCCAGAGTGACTTGCGTAGGCTGGGACTTCCTCCGGACACGTGGGCCAAGGCCGGCGCGTACCATGAAGTCCTGGCTGATGTAGTTGCGAGATGCTCCGCAATCGATCAAGGCATTGCAGGTCGCCTCTCCGATCTGAATGCGTATGTATAGCAATGGTGCGTTGATGTCGTCGTACCATTGCGTCTTGAACTCGCGGTCGATCTTCGCGATGTACGCGAGAAGGTCGACAACCTCTAATCCGGCGTCCATCAACGGAGTTGGTACTGCAATGTGCAAGTAGTCCCGCAATTGTGCCATGAGCACATTGCAATGCGGTTTCGGCAATCGTCCGGTCGAGGGAACGGGCATCCACTGGAAGTCCGTGAACGTCAACGGGTCGAGCTCATTAAGTCTTGACCAGGACGTCGAATCCCCGGCGATAGATTGCGGCGAAGCTGCCGAATCGGTTGCCGATGGTGATGTCGATGGTCTTGACCATGACGTCAAATCCCCGGCGATAGATTGCGGCGAAGCGGCCGAATCGATGGCAATCGTCCGGTCGAGGGAATCGGATGCCGATGGTGTCTCTCTCGCTGGTTCGCTATGGCCGCTGTCTTCTTCACAACCCACTTCTTCTCCGGGCACCTACAGTCCACGCACAAGATACCAAGGCAGCTCTTCCGCATGGCACGCAGGCGAATGAAGAATGGCTGGACACTTCCTCTTTATTTATACTTCTTCAGAGGTACCCGGGCACTGCCTCAGAACGTGTGGGCCTGGGCCAAAATGTGCGAGGCTTGAGTCTGAAAGTTTCCAAACTGCGTGGGCCTGGTAGGCTCAAACAACGTGGAACTCCCTGGACCAAAACGTGTACAGCAGCTGGGCCCCAAAACGCGTATTCTGGAATCTTCTCCAGAACACGTGGGCCTCCCTGTTTCCCCACGTTCAGCCTCTACCCCTGGTACTTGCTGACTGGACTGGCCTACAGGGACCTACGACCTTCTAGAGCCTACAGACTGACAGACAGACTCTAGGCCTTAGTAGACTCAGAAAGAGACTTCTAGAACAGACCTTCCTAAGCCTAATGGTAACAGACCTAACTCCTAATTTACAGACCAAGGGATCAAGTCCTACAGTCCGACCTACAGACTAGCCTAGGACATAGGGCAGGTCTAGGGATCGAATCCTACTCACGTCACTGGGTCTATGTACCGGTATAGGATAGGTCTAGGGATCAAATCTCACTTAACACAAAGGTTCAATGTACAGGGTTAGGGCACAGGTCTAGGGATCGAATCTCTGTGACTGCAATATCGGGTCAACTGGGTGAAACCGTTTCACTCCCGCCGTCCTAAATTCGAGGTCCTCGGAGAACACTCTAACTCAAGGTAGGACCTTTGCCCTCTCTTTCCCTCTCATAGGCGTGTACTATGTCGGGAGCGGTTTCTAAAAGCTCTGTTCTCGTAAACCATCGGTCGTCCTTGGGTTCCTGGTATGCGAACCTAACCTTATACTGTTTCTGGGGACGGTCTCGACCTCCTGTCCTGAACACGTCCTCTTCCACTACGCGATCTATATCATATGCACCATCCATGTCTGGTGGAATCAGCAACCTCCTTGAAGGGAATCTGTCGGACGCGGTGCAAGGCAGCAACTTAGACGCATGGAAGACTGGGTACGTGTGGAGGTGTGCTGGGATCTCTATTGTGTATGACAGACCGTCCTCTCCTCCTTTGACTTCTAGAACACGCCACAATCCTCTATACGCAGGTAAGAGCTTCTGCGAGATGTTTTCCTCTGGTGCAAACTCCTTTGACTTTACCCAAACTAGATCGCCTACCTGAAATTGTGAAGGTCGGCGGTGCTTGTTAGCTTGTTCTATCATCCGATGCTGGGCTTTCCTAAGATTGTCAAAGACCTTAGCGACTTCTTGCTCGTGCTGTAACACAAACTCTCGGACGCCAGGTGGTAGTCTCTGTATCTGATCCCAATCTAGTCCTTCAAACGGTCGCCTAGGTCTAAAGGACTTATGTAACTCATTAGGAGTCTTGCAGGTAGCTAGATAAACATTGTTATTATAGGCACTTGCTACTTTGGGAAGCATCTCATCCCAGTTTATCTGATCTGGTCTAATATACATTCTGAGTAACTGTTGCAAGATCTTATTCATCTGCTCTGTCTGGTCGTTAGTCTTCGGGTGTCATCCTGACGACATCAACAACTTAGACCCATAGACTTTCATCAGATCCTGCCAATTCTGACTAGTAAACCGTGTGTCCCTATCACGAACTATGGACAGCGGCATGCCATGCTCGCTTACCCAGAAGTCGAAAAACTTACTAATGACTAAGTTTGTACGTGCCTCTGGAGGCAGGGGAACAAATACTGCGTACTTACTAAATCGATCTAGTAAGACCATGACTTGAGTTTTGTCGTGCCTACTTCTGACCCCGGTATCCATGAAATCGATGGAAACTGAATCTCCGGGTCCTGATGGAATAGGCACGGGTCTCAGAAGTCCTAGAGGGGCTCTGGTTGTAGTCTTATTACGCTAACACACCTTGCAGTTGCACACATACTCTAGGCAGTCTGCTTTCATTCATGGCCACGTGTATGACATCATCAGGTTAGCTAAGGTCTTCTGCCATCCGAAGTGCCCTTCCGTATCGTGGCATTCCCCTAGGATTAAACTGCGGATCTCTTCATTGTTGGGGACGCATAGTCCGTCAAAGACATTGGTCTTCTCAAACAGTTGCCCGTTCGTGGTTCGGTAGTGCGGCTCGCTATCTGGGGCTTCCCTTACTCTCTTCATCAATTCACTATAGATCGGGCCCTGAGCGTATCCATCTTTGATCTTCTGCTGCAGATCAGCCCTTATATCTAGATAGTGCACTATCGTGCCGAAGTAATCAGCTCTCCTACTTTGAGCATCGACTACCACATTATACTTTCCTTTTATAGGCCTTGACTCAAAGTCAAATTGGTCTATCTCAACAGCCCATCTACTCAACTTGGGCGTCATCTTGGCTTGCGTCTTTAGCCATCTAAGAGTCTCGTGATCTGAGTAAACCTTGAAGTGCCTCCCAAGCAGGTAGTGTTTCCAGTGATCTAAGGCCTGCCTGAGAGCGTAGAGTTCACTCTCACACGTCGATGCTGCTACTTTTTCTAAGGGCAGCCTGACTGACATGAACTCTACGGGTCTATACCCGTTGTCGTCATCTTGCTTCAAAACGACACCTATGCCATACTGACTAGCGTCTGTAGTAATAACAAAGGGTAATGACGGATCAACAACTTTGAGGACAAAATATTATATTAAGGCCTTCTTCAATTTATTGTAGGCTGATGTACAATACTGTTCCCACTTCCAGATAGTCTCTTTCTTCAGTAATCTACAAAGGGGAGCAACGATCGTGGAGAAGTTCCTTACGAACTTCCTATAGTAATTAGACAATCCTAAAAACGAACGCAACTTCGTCAGCGTCTTAGGAGTCGGCGAATTCTTACTGTCCTGAGGCTGAATCGGTCAGCGTCTAGTACATCGCCTAGGTAAAAGACCTTTGTCTTGGCCCACTCACACTTCTTCGGGTTAATCCTAAAGTTAAACTCTCTCAGCTTGCTTAGAATCTGTCGTAGATGGCCCTCATGTTCCTCGAGGGTCTTGGGGAACACTAGGATGTCGTCTAAATAAACTACGACGAATCTATCTAACCATGGCCTAAACAAGTCCTTCATGCAGCACTGAAATGTAGCCGGTGCATTAGTAAGTCCAAATGGCATCACTATGAACTCGTAATGCCCATACGTTGTCATGAACACCGTCTTATACTGATCGTCAGGATGCACTTCTATCTAATGGTAACCTGACTTCAAATCTATCTTTGAGAAGTACCTGCACGAGATCTAACAAGTCATCTATACGTGGCAATGGCTCTGCATTCTTAATCGTGATGGCATTCATTCCCCTGTAGTCTATATTCGTGTAATTCTCCCTCCTCCTCTGGGACGAACAAAACAGGTGCTCCAAACGGTGACGAGCTAGGCCTGATCAATCCTTTCTCAGGGAGCTTCTGCGAAGCTCCTCTAACTCCTTAGGAGACATCCTCTGGACTGCGCCCTTAGGCGTTATACTGCCAGGTTCTATTTCTATACGGTGCTGGATTGGTCTGGGCACTACTCCTGAAGGTGCTTCAGATAAGTCCTTGTACTCTTCCAGCAAAATTGGCGATAGTAGGATTGATCTTTTCTTCCTCTTTAGGGTCATCAGAAATCGGCCTAACATAGGCTACGAACACCTGCTCTTCGAGCTGTTCCTTTCGCACGAGTCTGGCGAACGCAGGAGCGCTGAGGCAGCAATGGCAAGGGGGACTCATGGAACAGGTGGACCTTCTTGACTTCGCCTGACACACTAGGGAGCCTGCACTCGTACTCTCTAAGGTGAAGTGCGGCTCCTGCTGCCTCTCCCCAATCTGTGCCTAGGACAATGTCAACTCTCTTCTACGACGAGGGTCAAGGAGTGTAGTACCTTCTCTACCTTCCCATCTTTCTCGCGGCGAAAGCAGGCGTGGACCCCCTCAACATGCTCTTCAACCGGCATCCCACTGTTGTCTGCAAGGATGTTGACTACAGGTTCCTCTAATCGCTGGACTTTTAGATTAGCTTCAACTTCTTCAGCGCTTTACGACTGATATAAGTCCTAGTCGCCCCACTGTCTAGCAGGGCTCCTACTCTAGTTCTAAAAATCTCTACGTCTGCGAGGATAAGCTGTCCTTTCCCATCCTTCTTCATCTTGGCCCAGGCTTGCCTCCTCTCTCTCAACTCCTCAGCTAAGCCTGTGAGGGAAGCGTCTAGAGAGACCCTAACACAAGCAGTCTCTGGACAACTCACTAGACGCTGGCAAGCAACCTCTGCCATGGAGATATATGGAGAGGGAGACTCGACTTTGCACGCACGCTTAGATCCACATACTCCTGGGATAGGGGCAGTTGCAACCCCTACCGACGACTGTCTTTTGCTGCCCAAGACGCAACACGGTTCCTATTTCTAGGACATAACTTTATAATGTGGCCTGGGTCCCCGCAGAATACGCATTGAGAACTATTAATGTGTTTTTGCCATACTTCTTTTTCAATACCCAGATCTTCCCAAGGTCAACCCTCGGGTCGGTCTGGGTGCCACCAACCCTGTCTGGGGGGTGACCGACTAGAACGTGGACGGTTACACGGGGGACCTCCCCTTCCCCCCCCTTGGCGGTCGCCTTGCCGCCAACCCCCTGGCCGCCTTGTCCTCGTCCACCTTCGGCCCAACCGTTCTGGCCGGACCTTTGTCCTCCTCCTTGCAGCCTCCCTCAGACCGCGACAGCAGCGTAGGTTCTCCCCTGACCGGTGCTACTGTCTTCCTCCTCTAGTTAGAGAAGGGCACCTCGTCTGCGCCACCTCCCTCCATCGTTAGTATAAAGCTATCTTTGGCCTTAATTTGGCCGGAGATGGTGCGTCCCTTCCACGTTTTTCCTTGTGACAGATCCTTGTGCCAGAACGTGGTAATTGGCGACGCTTGGGCGGCAAATGCAACTGCCTCCCGGCTGAGAGTGTTGTAAGTCATGCCCTGCTGGTTCTTCTCCTCCAAGAAATATTCCTGAACATTTTCAAGCACGACACGATAGGGCATCAGTTACTCCATGCCCAGGGACCACAATCAATTCGTCCATCGCGGACTTGAGGGCATGAACACTCTTCCATTTGCGAGCGTGTATCATCGACCGATTATGGGAGGCTTTGAGCCCCCGCGTCACATCAGAAAATCTCTCTCTGAGCGATTTCAGGAATTCGCAGAGGGACGTTAATCTAGAATAGGTGACCATATCGTTCTTGCAGTTTGTAGCGCGGCCGAGTGACCTAGCAAAACTGGTCGCCTCATCTCGAAGGGCCTGGAAGGCCACCAAAACGTGGTCCTCAGGCGTGACTCCCTGCAAGTACAAGTAGGAGTGCACGTTGGCCTCCTTGTTGTCAAAGTCCTCCCCCTTCTTTCCACCGAAGGGCTCTGAAAAACGGACCTTGACTTTCTCACGACGTGGTGGGGCCGGCTCCTCTTCCTTAGGGGCCCGCTAGCTTGGCGCCTTCAATGGCGCCGGTGCAGAATTCCTTAATCTTACTGATCGCAAGGTGGACCTAGCCCACCATGTATTTCATCATATCCTGTGCGAAGTCTTTAAACTCAGCTTGCATCGAGCTTAATATCTTGTCTACGTAAATACTCCATTTGCTCATGATGCGTGGTTAGTAGGGACTCTACACTTTGTGTCAGGGTCTCGAGTTTAGTAGCTATCTCGGTTTCTTCCCTGATTTTCCCCATTCGAGCCTCTGCCGCCTTTAAATCCCTTTCTGCTTTCTCTCCCGTCTCCAAACGCCTAACTTTCTTTTGGGACAAGCGCCACTTCCATGCCCTCTGCTGTTCCTCCTCCTTCGCCCTTCTCCTCACAGGGTCCCTTTCTGCTTCCAACTCTGTTCTTGCTGCTACTTTCTCTACTTGAGGTATGGCCAACTCTGCTTCTCTATCTTCTCCCAATTCCAGATGTGCAGCCCATTCTTGCGTCATCCTTTCTACTGGCTCCTCTTTGCTTGTACTGGCTTCACCTCTTCTTCTTTCCAACGACTCTTCTTCTTCTACCTCTGCTTCTTCTTCTTCTTTCTCCAGCTTCGCTTGTATAGCCGCCATCTTCTCCTCCTTCTCCTTCGTCCACTTCTGCAGCTCTTCCTCCATTTGCTTCTTCTTTGCTTCCTGCTCCTCCACCAGGGCCAACATCTTGGCCTGCTTGATTAACTCCCTCTTCTCCATTCTCTCCTTCTTCTCTCGCAGAATAGCGGCAACTCTCTCCTCTCCCTCCTTGCTGTAGGGGGTGGTGCTAGTTCCGGACCTGAGGTCCACCATGGTGATGGTGCACAATCAACAACAATTTCGGGCCTCAACACGTAGACCGAATAGGTTGACTTCTATCGAGGGGTCTTGATTCACTACTCGGGCTAGACTTACGGTTCTATGACCACAATCACAAAGTCCTACCGACCTGGACAAAAGTGACAGGGAGATATGACTGACTGACCTTGACAGACTTGACGTCCTCAAGTACCAAGGTGAACGTGCACATCCACAAGGTAAGGGGATAGGCCAGGGCTTGGAAGGATGGTACCGGTAATCTTCTCGCTCCAACTGGGTCGACGCTGCAGTCAATGGTCTTGGTCAACTCGTCGGTCAACGCCCTTGGTCAACTTCCAATCAACGTTGGTCAACACCCGGCCAACGCCCGTGGTCAACGTTGGTAAACTCTTCTGGTCAACCCTCCAACCTTCCGGCTATGGTGGACCTTCTTCTTCGTCAAAACCTTCGTCTTCTTCATCTTGGCTATAGCTGACTTTGTCTCCCTCTTCGGCACTTTCTTCCTTTTCTCTGCGTCTTATCTCTTCTTCTTGCTGGTCGTCTTCTTTCCCGAGCTTGGCAGCTATGGCTGTCGTCCCCCCTTCTCTATCTTTCGCTCTCTCTCTCTCTCTCTCTCTCTCTCTCTCTCTCTCTCTCTCTCTCTCTCTCTCTCTCTCTCTCTCTCTCTCTCTCTCTCTCTCTCT